AGCTTTGCCCGTTCAGTCGGCGGTGATACCCCTTCTCGCAAAAGGACCTGCAAGATACACCGGAGATGTCTGTGTTTCGGCGGCTACTGGGTCCGGAAAGACGCTGGCATACGTTCTCCCGATTTTTGCTGGGCTCAAACGCCTGCCTGTTGCAAAGCTACGGGCTTTGATTATTGTTCCTACAAGAGAGCTCGTCAAACAAGTTCGCGATGCATGTGAGCTCTGTTCAAGTGGCTCTGGGCTTCGAATTGGCACCGCCGTTGGCTCGACTGCGCTTAAGGACGAGCAGGCTCAGATCATGGAACAGATAAGCGTGTACAGGCCAGAGAGTACTAGGAGCCAGAATGGCACAATAATGACGGCGGATGAATGGGCTTCTTTCAGTCTGGTAGACTACATCGCCGAAGCTGAGGAGTATAGCAAGACATTACCGGGCCATTGTATAGAATCATCTCCGTGTGTTGATGTACTGATATGCACCCCCGGCAGACTTGTCGACCATATCCGATCGACTAAAGGCTTTACACTTGACTCTCTTGAATGGCTGGTCATAGACGAAGCTGACAGGTTACTCAATGAGAGCTTTCAAGAGTGGGTGGAGACTGTTCTACCTGCCTTAGAGACTAAGGAGAAACCTGCTGCTACTGGCTCGCTAGAACAGCTGATAAAGGCGTTGAGTTACCCAGCAGAGTCTCGGAAACTCCAAAAAGTTATACTTAGCGCTACCATGACTCGAGATATAACGAAGCTCAATTCTCTGAGACTACATAATCCTAAACTTGTGGTTGTTGATGGTGCAGAAAGGGACGAAGCTGAAGCTGGAGAGGCAGAGCCAGACAGTAACATTGCCTTGCCGTCACTCCTAAACGAAAGCTCGATACCTGTAGGCGATGGATCTGAAAAGCCTCTCTACTTGTTGAAACTCCTGCAGTTATATATCGGCATGGTCATTGAGGAGAAAACCAGGACAAAAAGCAGGCGGATATCCGTATCCTCCGACACGAGCGTGTCCTCGAGTGACTCCAGTGATTCGTCAGACGACTCTATATCCTCCTCGTCTGCCTCGTCATCCACATCTACATCAGAAGACGACTCTGATTCTAGCTCAGATTCAAGTACGTCTGTGAGCAGCGATTCATCGACCTCAAGTGAGCAAAACAATACATCTGGTTCCGTTTTGATATTCACAAAATCATCAGAGGCAGCATCACGGCTCTCACGTCTACTTACTCTAATGTACCCGTATCTTGATGGCAAAGTTGGAACTCTTATCAAATCCAACAAATCCAGCACCTCGCGGAGGGCCATCTCAGGTTATCGAAAGGGGAAGATACAAATAATAATTGCAACAGATCGTGCCTCGCGTGGCTTGGATTTGCCTCTGCTGGATAATGTCATTAACTATGACGTTCCTAACAGCTTGACTACCTATGTTCATAGAGTTGGCCGTACTGCCAGAGCTGGCCGCCCTGGCTCTGCTTGGACTCTAGTAACCCATAGCGAGGGCAGATGGTTTACAAATGATATAGTCAGAGGACGTGTAGCCAGAGCTGCCGGAAAGACGGTAAAGCGGGTGCCCGTCAAGCTAGATGATGGAGATGTATCTGACTTGCAGGAGCGATACGCTAGGGCTTTGAAGCAGTTGGAGGCTGAGGTCGCGGGCTTGCGGACAGGGGTGGGCAAAGATAGTCCGGTTAAAGCAGCCCGTTAATTGAACTGTTGTTGTCCTCGAACATATAGATATCGTCTTAGGATAATGAGTAATATTGACAGTAGCCGTAGAAAGGTGTTCTCATCCCATGAGCTGGAGCTGGTCATCCGGTGGCCATCTAACTTGGGCAAAGGTCAGGCATCGTTTAATGCTCTGGAGAAACTTGCGAGTAATCTCATCACTCATGATATGGGCCTGTCCCTTGCCTCCTTCATGTAGCTTTTCCCGGGCAGAACGCTCATGAATGCCAACCATGGTGACACCAATAGGCCAGGCTCTGGACAATGTAGTTAGCACTTGACTCTCCCATCCATGGATAGGTGCATATGAGCTCTGCTTACGCTTTTCCAATACTTAATGTAAGGTATCCGTCATTGGCATCAACGTATCGACGGTTCTGGGCGTTTCTGACAATCTCAACAACGGGTTCCAGGATGCCGTCCTCGATATCTCCATTCTCGAACTTCTTGAACAGTGGCCGCATGTTCTCCCGCGACTGTACCATAGCGTTATAAGCCTGCTTCCCCTGAAAGGTTTGCTTGACAGAATCATCTCGCTGGGCCAGGGCGATCTCCCACTCCTTGAGGACGAGTGTGAAGTATGAGGCCAGCTGTCTGAACAGGTACCGTTTCCCTTCTTCGTCGGCAGGCAGCTTATCAGGCACCTTCATATCGGCCTCTGGTACCAGCTCTAGGGTCGTAGGAATTGGTCCATCCGTAAGCTTCTTCCTGTTCTGCTCCGGGTTGACGAGATTTCTGTATCTCCTCAGCCTCCCCTTGTGGCTCTCTCCAAAGAGTCGTGCTGGTTCCCCAAGCTCCCGCAGCTTCCCAACCAGCTCGTCATCATCCAGATCCTCGCCGGCCTGGATAGTTGTCCCATCCTTCTCGCTGTTGGATTCATCTTCAGCCAGTCCTAGGCGCTTGCGGCGCTCTTTTTCTCGCGCCTCTTCCTCCGCCTCTCGTCGTGCCCTTGACTCTTCGGCGAGCCGTCTGCGTTTCTCCTCTCGTCGGCGGTTCTGTTCCGCTTCTTCTTCATCTCGCCTCCGCTTGAGTTCGGCTCGTTCTTCTCGTTCTCGCTGCAGTTTCTCCTGTTCGGCGTTGTAGGCCGCCACGCGAGCTGCCTCGATGTCAGACCGTTTGGTGTATTTCTTCTCCGCGGCGTCTGACTTGGCCTTGGATATCTCCTTGGACATAAGAGAGGCAAAGTCCATCGTGTAGTCTACGTAGCCCTCCCAGCTGTCGTGGTCAATCGTCTGTCTGCTATGAATCTCAAGTTGGTCGCCGTTGGTTGTTCGTTCGCTCGGTCGTTTGTCGCCAGCTTTTGCTTTTTCTTTCCTTTCTCGGTCGTGAGGACTTCTATCTCAACCTAATTAACTAATTAACTGCCAGCTCACTAGTTATTATTCAATCCAGACACACATTTACCTACGTCGTCATACAATCTACGCGCGTTAGCCCTTTTCACTGGCTTATACGTGCTTGGACATTGCTATTATACAGAAATCTCACGGTTGAACAGGTCTCGCGATCTGTTACCGCGAGCTTTGCCCGTGGTAAATAACCCCAACAGCAGCTTTGACACGCCGTTCAACACATATCTAAATCCCTTTAATCTCTCGATACTGATATAAGGGCCTTGGAGGGTGTATACCTTGACTTTCCCACCGGACATTCCTTGAGAGGCGTGTACCTGTCATGGCTTCGGGAGAGGAGGCTCTCAAGATTGATCGCGAAAAGACAACGCCCTTCCACCTAAAGCTCTTCTACCGCCAGAACTCCTTTCACTCACTGTCGGAATTCCCTATCCTATCTGCACCGTCTACAGGTGAGAATGGGACAGTCACAAACCCTCCGCTTCCTCCACATCTTCAGATATACACCTGGCAGTCGTGTTCTCTTCGCGAGCTGGCGCATCTGCTCACATCAACACTACCCGCCTTGCTCCCCGACCCTGCGGTAGGCACGCGATTGAGCTTCCGGCTAGTTTACCCTGACACAAGGAGCCAGCCTAGCGGTCGACCGGGTGACATGGGGGATGGGCGCGGGAAATACATCAGCAAAGATATAGGGAGTGTCATCATAAGACCGAAAAAGGTTGAAGATGAAGGTGAAGGAATAGCACTTGAAGGTGATGAGGCGGACAAGGTGCTGCATGATGTGCGGTTCGTGATAGGGGACTACATTGACTGTGCTATACTACCGCCCCTCGCTGACGGGTCTGTGGCTCCCCCGTTACCCTCTCGCGGACCGTCCACCTCTTCAGTGGGAGGAGGCATGCGCGCATTTGGAGGGGGCCCGTTTTCGCGGGACTCTACATTATCGCGGTCGAGATATGGGCCAGGGAGGAGTGGAATAATGTATGGATCTAATCAAGCCAGCGTCCCCAGTGGAGAGTGGAGGAGAGGAGAAAGGATACCAGATGGCAGTGGACGCGCATACGGTAGGGGATCAAGAGATGGGGGACGGCCTTATTAAACGGTTGGACGTGCTTCTCTACCTCTGGTGGTTGCAAGAGATAACAATGCAGCATTCATGATTCTACCAAGGCTCATGGAGGCATACGACAACAACATGCATCGTCCTCACTATATCAATGGACAAGTATAATGAAAATGACATATATGCCTGTATGCTTCGATAGGAGGCCCAATGCAGTAGTAAAAGCACGTTATCTGGCACTAGTTTGATTGATGCTCAACAGTGTTGTTATAATACAGACAGAGACAAACAGTACGCAGCTTCAGCCAGCACACTCAAGACCGCTTGTTATTCAGTCCAACATATACACTGGATGCCTCTGATCGAAAGTCCGTAGTGTTGCGTCACCATGCACGCTCACTTGCAAGTCATCCCACTTCAAAATTCGGCAATAGTGTCCCCTCTCCTCTTCCCTCGGAAGTTGTATTTACCCTAGACGGGTTAAGTTAAGTTAGAATCGCGTTGTAATTGGGTATGGATATGGTAGGATGTTGCACCCACATCTGTTTTGTAGGAGATGTAGCCGATGATGCCGGGGATGACGGCCATGTAGCAGAACGACAGCCATGCGGTACGGGGGGTCCACCTGAAATACTTGTAGCGGTTCTTGTGCGTGTCTGTGCAGAGGTTAGTATGTATGCTGCGGGATATTCAGCTGTTAATAGCATCGACTGCCACGGATCAGTCGAAGGAATAGGCCGAAGGGTGCTGACCGTAGTATTTCTGCAGCGCAGGGTCAAGGTGAAGATCTATCAATTGGGTCAGTAAAACGGTGCCACGAAGCATCTAACATTTCTGCCTCCCTCTCCAGCATGAACTTACTCGACGGTCCCGCCATGCTTGCTGTTGTCTTTGCTGTCGCTTCTCTCTCGTTCGTCCTCGCCTCCGCCTTCGCCTTTTTTTCCTTTGACGTTGAAGGTCGGCTTGTTTTCTTGGCGCTATTTGCCGCGTCAAGCGCGCTGGCGGCTAAATCTAAAGAACAAAAAGTGACAAAAAGTAAACGACAACGACGACGACGACGACGATGTTGAAAATAAGAACGAGGATTATACGGAAAGGAGTGGAAGAGGATGTCGCTTTACTTTGAGGCTGCGGCTGTTCTCAGTGGGCCGTCGCACGCCGGCTCGCTCAAGTCGAGAGTCTACACAGGAAAGTGGAAGTCTCCTCCAGCCCAGATTTACGCTCTGATAGTCGAGGTCGCAAAGTACAACGAGTGCATCAAGGAGGTCATAGACAACGCCGGCATCCTGGCGCATGAATCAAAGGTCAGTCAGGCTTACTCCTTTGCATTCACAGTATCAATTGGGTTTGCTGCTAACGAGAACAAGGTGATGTGAGCAGTTAACTCCCATTCTGTCGCTTCTACTCGTCCATGACTTTCTACTGTCCAAGAGGGGCATTGCAGCTCCCTCGAATCATCCCCTTCGCCTGGCTGTAGAGCGCCACAAGTCTCGCCTTAATGCTGAGCTTACAAAGTTGCGAGTTCGCCGAGGATGCGCCTCAAAGGAGGAATTGAAGCATAAGCTGGTGCAGGACCAGCAGGTGATGAAGGCATTCTCGCCTAGATGGATACGAATAAATAACGTGTTGACGACATTGGATCATGAGATGAAAAGTACTTTCGCTGGCTATGAGTCTGCGAGTTCCTTATCCGAGCTTGCAGAAGCCACAGCAGATGAGAAGAAGTACTGCTTGGACGAACACATACCAGACCTTATGGCCATCAGTCGTGACATCGACATCACTTCTTCATCTGCATATAAAGAAGGAAGACTTATATTACAGGACAAAGCTTCTTGTTTCCCCGCCTACTTGCTACTAGGGGACCATCCAGGGCAGTGGAAGGGAGACCTTATTGATGGCTGTGCCGCTCCGGGAAACAAGACAACGCATCTCGCTTCGTTGCTCTCTTCTACTCCAGAGAAGCAAAAGAATAGGGTATTTTCTCTAGATGCATCCCACTCGCGATCCAAGATCCTGCAGACAATGGTGAAAAAGGCCGGCGCGAGTAACATAGTGACAGTTTTACCTGGGCAGGACTTTTTAGCCCTTGACCCGGCTGACACGCGATTCCAGCATGTCACTGCTCTGCTGCTTGATCCCAGCTGTTCAGGTAGTGGGATTACGAAGCGTGAAGACGTCCCGCAACTCGACCTGCCCAAGTCAAAGTCTGAACTTACGCTTGCTACTACGACCAGCAGCAAGGGGTCGAAGAATCGGAAAAGAAAACGAGAGAACCCAGCGGATTCATCATCCCCAGGTAGCTCACCTACAACAGAAGCAAAAGAAGATGAGAGTGAACGGCTAGCTAAGCTTGCTAATCTGCAAAGCCAAATCGTGGAGCATGCATTTGGCTTCCCAGCGGCTACCCGCGTTACTTACAGCACCTGCTCCATACACCACGAGGAGAACGAGGATGTTGTCGCTCGTGTGCTAGCCTCATCTATTGCAAAAAATCGTGGCTGGAGACTTGAGTTACGGTCAGAGCAGGCAAGGGGCCTTCGGAACTGGCATCACCGCGGAGTATTATCCGGCGGTAGCTCAGAAAGCCCACCCCAGCTGTCTCCCGAACAGTTAGAGGCTTGCATTCGATGTTGGCCTGCCGGGGATGAAGGCACTGGGGGTTTTTTTGTAGCGATCTTTGTGCGGGAAGAAATTGAGGGCAAAGTAGGAGGTGATGAAGACAACGACGAAGAATATGATGATGTCTGGGAGGGCTTCAGTTCTAGTTAAGGTCGTAGCATTCAAATACCAGATATGATGCTTAAATTTAGTGTCTTGACTCATGTTGATTTCAAAACAAGCTTTGATGCCAGCGGATAACTCGTTAATTCGTTACTTGCTTATATTTTCGTGCCAAAACTGGCTCGTAATAACTGCTAAATGAATGTACCACGAGACAACCAGTCCATCCACTTTATCATATTCTACTTCTACGCCTACTGATAGAGAATGGACTCATTTACTTTCTCTATGCAGCCGCCAGCACAGGGAATAACCGGGCTCAACTCCAATAAACAGCCACAATATCCCATCTTTAATGACGGCCTACAAGTACGCATGACTGTGTTCGTCGATGAGCAGAACTGTGACCCGGATAATGAGGTCGACGCGGACGACGATCGAAGCTGGCATTGGGTTGTATATGCTGGTGACGCTGATGGCGGCTGCAAGGCTGTAGGCGTGGTTCGCCTTGTCCCGCCACCGCATGGAGGGCATCAGCACCAACATGAGAGCGGAAAGCCGTTTGTCAAGATTGGTCGACTGGCCGTTCTGCCTGTTTATCGAGGGAAAGGGCTTGCTCGAAGATTAGTCGAGATGGCACTGGAATGGGCGGCTGAGCATAAGTTGGACGTGGGGGGTGGATGGGACGGCTTGGTTTTGATACATGCCCAGACGGATGTGGAGGCAATGTATGCTCGGCTGGGCTTCGAGACTGACAAGAGCCTGGGGCAGTGGGATGAAGAAGGCATCCTGCATGTTGGGATGTGGAAGATGCTGGAGTTATGAATCTACGCGGCTTACGTTGGGGGAAATTGATGTTGAATATAGATTCGTCGATTTGGACATAGACAGAACGGCCGTGTGCTCAGTAACGAAATAGACAAACAGAAGAAAGGGAAAAATAAGAAGAAGAAGAAGAAGAAGACGAAGAAGAAAGAAGAAGAAAGAAGAAATAGACAAGGAGAAAATGAAATCTATATGCATGGAGGACCGGGAAACCTCGTTCAGACAGCCGTAATCAAAAGACGAACAGAATGAGCTAAACAGACACACAGTCATATCCTGGATGGAAGCATGTGAACCATGAGAGCAAGACGAAAGTAAAGAACAGAGAGCAACGAGCCGGGAGAGCCCAAGTCAAGTCAGCAGGATTGCAGGCTCGAGACAACGTCAAAGGGGGTATCAATTGTAACAGAAAAAAAGAGGGAGTAAAATCGGCGAGTCGGCTAGAAGGTGCTCCAGCTCCAGTCCCTGGGTACACTGGTGGCAATCATACCGTCCTGATTCTCATCTGAATCTGCGTCTGGGTCGGCAATGCTTAGCCGGTCAGCCTCTATGGCCCATCCCCGGCTGCGCTCGGGGGCATTGAGGTTGGCGATCAAGTTGTGCTGAATCTGGTTGAGCTGGTCGGTGCGAGCCTGCTCCCAGCGGCGGTAGGCAGCCCAGCAAAGGTCGCAGCTGCGTGAGGGGATGCCATCCGGGTGAAATCTGGCATTTTGGTCGAGTGGGATGGTGTAGGGGGTGTGGGAGGAGCAAAAGACGTGGCCGCAGTGCCGGCAGTGATGGCGGCGTACAAAGATGCCAAAGAAGGATTTGCACACGGGAGAGTCGCAGGACGGAGAAGCCGAGTCAGCCTACTACCTGTTAGCTGTCGTGCGTACTCTTGTACCCGGTATATCAAGGTACGTATGTTGAGATAAGGGGGGGGATCTACCTTCCAGTGCTCCCTAGTAGGCGAGCCAGTGACCTCCCCAAGATTCTGGTCCCGCAGCCACTCGTCCTGGGCGAGCCTGCTGACGCCGCTGCGAGTGCTGTCGACTGTCGACCGGCGAGATAGGTTTTCTGTAGGCGTGATGCTGCCGTCTTGCCCGTCCTGGCCGTCGACAGAGCCGTGGACGCTGCGCGGCGGCGTGAGAGGCGAGGGCTTTGGAGGCCTCTCGGTTCGACGCAGCGCCGCGGGGACGTAGAGAGGCGTCTTGAGCGGCCGCAGCTGGCGCGACTGGCCCTGGAGAGGCTGATGAGGGAGCTGAGGCTGCGCGCTCATCGGCCCTGGCGAGGAGGGCGAGTTGTTCGTGGGCGTTGCGGAGGCCGAGTTGGCTGGGGATGGCTGGCCATCGGGGGCATGCCGCGAGGCGGAAGCGTTGGCGGCGGACACTTGCATCGACGGTTGTTGCCTTGATATCTGCTTGCTGTCTGGATGTTGTGTGATGTCTTCCTTTTCCTTGTCTTCTTCTGCTGGCCGCTTCTGCTTGTCTGGTTGTTGTTTGGCCTCGCCGTCGCTTGTGCTGGTTTGGTTGTTCGATTGTTTCTTTCGACTTGTGGGCGAAAAAGAAAGAAAAAGGGCGTATTTTTCCCCGGACTTTTGGTACAAGACGGTATGTTACGACACATTACAGGTTAAAAGTGAAGATCCCATAAGGGGTAAATGTCGTAATTACAATACAGTGTATGAATCATACGATCCCGGGGACGGCAAAAAGCAATATTAGATTACATCATAGTATATTTTCGTTTGTTTGTAGATTTTTAATCTCGACAGGAAGGAAAAGACGGTCAAGAGACGAAGGACCGACGAGCATTGCGGGCTCGCTGGCTGGAGTGAGCCTCAAGCTTGACGGCGACGAAGACAATCTCCATCTGGCTCGTGCCGGTGCTGGCATTGGTGCTGGGATGGACTCGCAATCGCCACTGGCCACGATCGACCACCCACTGGCGGCTCCTCTCGCTGCCGTCGACCCTGCGGCGCTTGCGGGGCAGCTGCTGGTTGGGCTGGACAGCGGCGGCAGACGGTGTCTGGAGGCGGGGGTAGAGGCCAGATGGAGTTAATGGGGGTGCATTGCCTTCCATGGGCGAGTAACCAGCGGGAGCTTCTGCCGGTTGGAATGTGCTGTTGTTGGAGCCGTTGGAGGTGGTATCGTAGTTGTTGTTGGGGCTAAAGGGCTCGCCATCGAGGGTGATGTCTGTACTTGAGTCAATGTGGATCTTGATCCTATCTCCGGTCAAAGCAGTGTTGCTACCGTTGGCAGGGCTGTTATTGCTGCTGCTGCTATTTCCGGGCGTCACCGTAAGGCTCAGGGGAGTGTTGGTGGGTAAATTCATCTTGTTAGAAATGACCTGGCACAGGCTGGTGACACGAGCTTTGGCCAGGCCGTGCAATTCGGCTCGCATGGTGGTCAAGTCGACAAGGGTGTTGCCGCCGCCAATTTCAATGATCAATTCACGATGATCATCATCCACGAACGGCCGGGCATAATGTATCCACCCTCCTGTAATAGTGCTGTTGGCATTGGGGTTGCTGCTGCCCTCTCCGTCAGGAACAAAGGTGATGCCAGACGGCCGGACGTCTTCGAGGCGTACGGTGATCTCGAACCGGCGTCTCTCCAGGTTATAGCTGATGTCATGGGGTATCAACTTCTGCTCGAGGCCACGCAAATGGTAGTAACGGCAATCTCGCAGCAGACATGCCCGATGCTCTTCGTCGCGGATGTGTACCGGGTAGCCACGCAACAAATGCAGCAGTTCGGCGAAGACGTCTCCAGATCGGCTGCTGACGATGGGAGGAGTGATGGAAGGCGGGCGCAGGAGGCCTTCGCGCTCGAGGCCTGGGAAGACGGCGGTGGGAGAGGCAAAGAACACGGCAAAGCCGAGGGAGAAGAAGTTGGGCGAGTCCCCCGGGCTAGAGAAGATATCTCGGGGAATCTGGAAGTGACGGTCTCCAATCTGGATGAAAATTTCGCACTCGAACAGCTGAGCTATCAAGCGGGGCACTGTTGCATGGCCTGTTAGCACCGTAACTAATTTCTTTCTTCCTTTTTTTACCTTCAGGCCAAAAAAAAAAGGGGTAGACTTACAGCTGTAGAACTGGGCGTCAGCAAAGAGCTTGACGAAGTGAGCCCCATCCTTTGGGCGCACATAGTATCCTACAAGCACAATCCCATCAACAGCTGTGTCTTGACGATTGCTAGGCAGGGAAAACAACCTTGGAGATGACGGAGGATCTCATGAAAGGTCTCTGGGTCGCGATCGATGTAGAGCGTCCTCACGTTGCCGTCCGGGTTGCTCTCCAGCTGCTCCTCGAAGAAGCGCGAGAAGTATGACGGTGCTCTATCATGTCAGCAGAGAAAACACCGGAAGAATAGAAGCGAGGAGGACAGGGGAAGATACCATCCGAGGCGATGGAAGCGCCGGAGAGACGAAAGAGATGCGAGCCGATCTGGATGGGAAACACCTTTTCGTGCGGCAGGATGGCAGCGTCTCCCTTGGGCGGCTCAGACAGCGGCACGCCGGTCGACATGAGGGCGGTCTAGCTCATCATCTGCAGGTCTTGTGGCCGTGGTTGTCGAAGTGGGAGCAGAAGCTGTGGCGTTGATTTGTCGAAGGCGAAGTTGAATTGAAGTCAGAATTGAAGTTGAAGTTGGCGATGTTGCGGCTCAAGTTGAGGCTGAAAATAAAGTAGTTAAAATAACAACACATCAACCTCAGCGAAATGCACGACACGACACGAAGGCTTTGTTATTATTATTACTATTGTCGATTCAAGGACTATTACTTTTGCCTATCTAAATGCTTATTACGGGGTATTATTTATACAAAGTGCACATGCTACTAACGAGGAACATAGTCACAGCTGCCCTCGAGCTCGACGATCAGGTCGTTGGCCCTGCGGTAGGCCTCGCGCTGCCGGAGCCGGTCGAGGTAGGCGACCAGCGCGGGATGCGAGTCTGCAGTGATGGCCTTACTGGCGGTGGCGATCTCGAGCAGGTAGCTCATCATGATATCGGCGCCAGCGAGGTCAGGACCGCAGAGATAGGGCCCTCCCTGTGGCGCCGACTTGACCTGGTCTTCGAGAAAGCCGAGATGCAGCTTCATGTTGTGACGCAGATACGCGTCGTCGACCTTTCCGGCGATACCCCTGGTGAGGGGCTTGATGAAGAAAGGGACCGGGGCGTTGCGGATGCCTACGATAAGGTGAGCAAACGGACAAGTCGCGGGGTGATTGCAAGAGGAGGGAACTCACGGTCGATGATGAGCTGGACGAGGAACACGGGCATCAGGCTGCCCTCGGAGTAGTGGATGAAGTATCTGTTGCGCAGCCAGGCATCGGTCTCGCCGGCGACAGAGCCCTCGCAGCCCTCGCGGTACCGCCTGGGAATCAGGGACGGGCCAAAGTGCTCGGTCAGGTACTCGACTATCAGCCCAGACTCAGCCAGCACCAGCTTCTCCCGGCCAGGCACTTCGACAGAGATGACAGGCGACCTGCCGAGCGGATGGATCTTCTGCAGGGCCGGGTCAGCCAGCAGGCCCTTGTCACGCTTGAACCGCTGCAGTTCGTAGGGGAGCTTGAGCTCCTCGAGCAGCCACAGGATGCGCTGTGCCCGGGATTGCTCGAGCCTGGCAGGATGGATGTTAGCAAGGGTCATCGTTCGGAGGGATGATGGCCGGCTTCTTTACATACCAGTAGAGGGTTATCTTGACGTCCTTTCTATCTTCGGCCATGATGCTAGCAGTCTAGTTGACCCGATAGCTAGTGATGATGCGAGTAGAAAAGGGTGGCCAGCCGGTGCCGACGGCGACGACAAGGGCTCTCTATAAGTAGTTGGAGATATCAGCAGCAGATAAAGTGTTACGGGTTTACAGTCTACTAATACTGGTTGTTTTAGCTATAACCATGGCCTCTGGGGTGCCACTCTGTATCTCCGTCGGGGCGTCTATCGCTCCGCCGTGGAGATCTCGTATTGTCCAGCTAACTAGTTATCTCCGGCGAGCTTCTCACTCTATCGATAGGTAGCTACTTATGGCTAAGGGGGAGACTTGTTCTAGTAGCTCAGATATATCAGTAGGACAACTCTGTTAGAGCAATCAAAGGGCTCTGGTGCGGGCTACAACCCACTCCAGCCTTTGAGGCCATGTCTATTCCTGACAGTGCCTAGATAACAGGCGTGGGGTCCCCATCAAGGTAACTAATGATTCCAAAGATACATTCGACTAATTGGTTAGTTTGTCTGAGTTGACAGATCGTGGAAGGACGGAAAAGGGGAAAGGAAGAAGCTGTCTCGGTGGAGTTTATATAGGCAGTGAATGGACCCGTGGACGCCAACTGGACGGCCGACAGTAATTCCTGGGCTGTGTGAAGGCATATAAGGGTGAGTCTAGAGAAGAATCCCAGAGAATCCGAGGAGTGGCTAAATAACTAATCCCTGTCGATATCCGCAGCTATTATAACCAACTAGTTAACGAGTTAGCCAGCCCGCAGCAAGTAACGAATTGCCTGCCACTCGACATCCAATTGTCAAGGGAAGAAATTCATTGTTGGCTGAATGACAACTAACGACTGGCAAGATGGACGGCCGCTTGCTCGAGGCTGTCAGACACAAGGCCAGGCTGGAGGAGATCCGCCGCCTGGTCGAGGACGAGGCTAACCCATGCGATCTCACAGCGACGGACAACTACGGCAAGACGGCCCTCCAGTGCGCCCTCGAGCTGCAACACGGCGATACCTGCGCATACCTTGCCGAAAAGATGGTTGAAAAGGGCCGTCGTCTGCCCGTCGCGCTGCCGGCAGCCGTGGTTGACTGGGCCGGTAGGGAGCCGTGGTTCCCGATGCTGCAACAGGCACTGGCTGACGGCGCCAGCGGGAACGGCGGGAGCTGGAGCAGGACGACCAGCTTGACGAGGGAGGGCTATACGGCGCTGCTGGCATGGTTGGCGGCCGCGCTGGGGCTGCCGGAGACCATCATGGCGCGCATCTTGGACGAGGCTGAGTTCTGGGTGGCCTCCTCTGCGCGGCGGGAGCGAGAGCTTTATTTCACCGAGAACGACAGGATCAGGCCGTACGTTGAGGTCGAGTATCCAGCGCTGCAGGGTTACCTGCGCAGGATAGATATCCTTACTGTGTCTCACGATCAAGGTCAGCGCTCATTTTGACTTTCTCCTCGTTACTCTGGCCTGATACAGCTGACAGATGATATCCAGGCTGGTGCTCGCAGGGCGTGCGCGACTCCTACGATGGATCGTATACCTGGTTCGAGATCAGAGTCCTTCGAGACGACCCAGAACAAGTCTACGAAAGCCACGAAGGCGAGGGGCTCATGCTGCAGCCAAACGTATGTGCCCAGCGACGGACACGGACTCACTACAACCAGATCCGGCCACGAGATGCAAGGCTGGCTGCTTGGATGGCCGCCGTCGGGCCTGGGCACCGTATTGCCGTTTTCCCGCGGGCACTCTACCAAGGCTGGATAAACTACGTCGAATGCATAGAGTTGAAGCTGTGGTATGCCCAGTGGCATGTCTAGTTATGCATGCGTCTTATGGCAGGGAATATGGAAGTCTCTGTGACTTAATATCATTTGGTTGTAGTTCTCTCCATTGTTTGAATACACTCTAGGCCCACTGCGTCCTTGACTGATGGTATTATAGAGGTAAGAATGGGGGGAGTTAACTAACATTTAGAGAAGAGATATTGCTCAATAGTGATACACCAAGGGACAGCTTTAACTCTCCCCGCGAATGAATCAATACATTAGGCTAATAATGAAACCCAGTATTATTATGTTGTCACAACCATGAGAAGTCACAAAAATCGCAGCTAATGGGGAGAAAGATGTCTGCTGATTGTATTTGAGGTAGTTATTGTAGCTCTCGAGGTATCTGGAGTAAATACTCCCTGTAGCGTGGTTGTTGCAGTTGCAGCTACTATTAACTAGTTATACTTGCTACCTTTGTTGGGAGCTTCATTTGAAACAGCCTACGGGACAAGAGGTCTAGTTGACTAGCCAACAGTTGGTTATGGAGAGCAGCTTGAGTGAGGAAAAGCAACATGCCGGCTATCTGGTGCAGAGAGTCTGTCACGCTATAACCCCTTCTTGTCCAACGCCTCCACTCACGGCGGGGACACATGCAGAACTGGAATTAAGACCATGGTCATATCACTGATTTTCATAGTTACGAGCTGTGGTTGGTCCACATTGACGACTTGCTTAACCAGTTCATTGCTAGATGTAGCCGTAAAAATGAGGGGATACTCTATCATTGTTTAAGTATTAGTTAACTGAATAAATAGCTAGTACGGAGTACTCCGTATAGCTTGCCGAGCGGTGGGCGGTTGGATGACAGTTGGCGCCATCATTGACCCAGTCATCAATTATAGTTCAGTGTTCACTACGACGGGAAGACCCACTTCCCGCCGCCCGCCGCCCGCGCAGAGCCTCCAGAGCTACATAGCGTGAGCCACTTCTCGGGTTAACTATGGTCGCATTATCACTGTTGAAGGCAAAAGAATGATTCTCAGGGTCAATAGCGGCTGATACTTCTCTAATGACTACTCAAGTGCGCACACAGCTAGTTGGATGGACTATGATAACCAGCGATGTGCATGAAGTCACCTAGCAGTACAACCTAGGCTGGATGTAAATTAAGAAAACCCATTGATAAGCTCTAGCAACACGCAAGGGCACAGCGGTAATACTCCGAGTCAATCCCAGTTCTCCTAGAGATGTCATTCTGCGGTATTGGATGCAAGAATTTATGATTATTTACTCCCTCATAAAATGGGTAGTAGCATCATTTTTCAACAAGCTCTGTATCAATAAAGTTGATTAGTAACTATAGAAGATTCTGGGCTGTCCACACTTCCTTGCATATCTCTTCAAATGTCGCTTTTGTGACAGTGATGTCATTCTCGTTGGAATTTTGCGGCCCGCGGCCGGCTATCTTCGCCAATGGGATAACCATATCGCCAGTAATTTCGGTAACGTCATTCTGATACTTGACGTGAATAGTCTCAGTTGATATCGCTGGTTGGTAGGAACATGTTCCTCTCTCTGGCGTGGAAGATGATTTTTCCCATTTTTTAAAGGTTATTTCTGGCGAATGTCGTTCGATTTTGATCGTGATAACGACTTCTGTTTCTGATTTTGGTGATTCTAGCCATCCTCGGGCGTCAATATTTAACTTGGATTCAGACTCATATACTCCAGCCTCAATGGCTAAAATTGGCCAATCGCGGTCCTGTAAGGTAAAGCTACCATCGGGCTCCTTGGTAAAAGTGTCGCTAGTTGCTCGGCTTGCTCCGGAACGGGTAGTGATGTAATTGAGCTTCATATCTCTAATCCTTTCTCTAAGATATCCTTCTAACCCTCGGGCCGCGACTTCGTGTTCTTTTGCAACCATGGTCTCGAGAAGAAGGACTCTGTCCTGAAGATTGGTAGATACCTTTGGTCCTTTATCCAGATAGACGTTATCAAAGTCTTGAAGGAACGTATGTGGTATATTTATAACTATGATAAATGGGCTTTTGGAAGAATCCAAGCAGCATAGTTGAGCCCTTTTGTCCACTAGGCACCTAATGTCCTCCATATTGGTATATTCAATCTGTAGTGTTCCCTCAGGAAGTCCGACCAACAGCGGAGAATCAATAGTCTCTGGTGCTTTTCTGCTTAAATCGGCCATTGTGGAGGGTTGCTTATGTGGTATGCTGGCATAGGGGTTTAGTATGCGCTGTCCAGTCCATAACAACACATCAAGAGAGAGCGATATCATTCATCTATATCTAAATACCTCTGACTGACGTTAGCCAAGATAATTAACTAGTTAGGTAACTTAGAGACAGCTGGCTGTGGCGCAAGTTTGGTTAACTAGTTTGCTCACCAGCTAAGTTAACTAGTTATAATTGTATTTGATGCAAAGGGTCGAGAGCGGGAAAGCTACCAACTCGCTGCTGGGGATAGCAGGCCTTAGCTAGTTGAGCCAGTCCTTCGAAATTGTATCCTTCACGGACTTGAAGATCAAAGCTCTCTTCTGCTGTTTCCAGTCTTCGAAATCTCTTGCTAACTCCGTCAAAGCTCATGTTTGTAAAAATGGTCTCGCCAGCGAAGAAAAGAAGACTGCGCGACTGACTCTTCGTGATGAGTCGAAGCCGAATCCCCTGAACTTGTATTCTCCGCTGGGGATATGCATCCACGGTGCTGGGGAGGGAAGGCCATCTCGCGTGCAGCTTAGGGCTGTCCGCCAATGAATGACCTGATCTTTTGCCTTTGCAGAGCCAACCAACCCAGCACCTGCAGGAGACGGTCATCTAGGAGATGTTCCTGCTCTGCTAACTACTTCATCAACGGCCCGGTTGTCATGGTAACTAACTAGTTTGCCCCAGTCATAACTAGCGGTTTATCACAGGAATGGATGGTGGGAGAAGACCCTCCCATTTCTAAGGCTGAGAATTTGGTATTGATATACTCAAAGCGAGATAATCAGTGAATAGTTATATCATTGAATGAGGCCAAAAAGTCGAGTAGGTCGGGAGTCGCTAAGAAGACCTTGCTCATTCACAAATGGACATTGATAATGACGCTGAACCTGCCCTTCGTGAGGATCTCGATCAATTTGGCCAGTGTGAATAGTTAACAAGTTAACGAGTGACCACTCTAAGAAATATGATAACTGATCAACTACGCCATGCATCGTCTCGTTAAGACACCTGTCGGCCAACAGCGTTCTATTCACCCTGAGTAATAACCATGTAACTAAACATCTATAGTACAAGATTGCGGCTCGAGATCCACCTAAATATGCCCGTTCTCCATGTTATCCAGTATGTTTTCAATCACGCTGCATACTTTCTTCACCTGCTCAACATCCCAGACCCAGGAAAAATGAGTATTACCTTGCAACGGCATTACCGAGACATGCTCGATAGGGATGAATTTGTCCAAGTTGTTGGCTCTGGTCCTATGATAGTACTCGTATAATAGACGCTGCTCGTCGCTGGTATATTTGTCGTTAGGTTTGGCAGCCTTGAAGAGAACAACATCCTTAACTCGGGAGAGCATATGTGCAAGCCGCGCGGGTTCAGGATCGTATACATGATGGATTTTGTCCAGGATTGTCTTCTCAGCCATCCCGATCTCCTCGGTTGCGCCCCGGACGTCGAAGTAGGTGTCAATGAATAGAAGTGAGCTAATCGCCTTCCCACTGCTATCATCCAGCCGGCGGGAAATCTCCATTGCGAGGATGCCACCAAAACTCCAGCCAAGTAAATGGTACGGTCCCTGAGGCTGGAGACGCCGTATATGGTCTGTATACCACTCCGCCAGCTCCTCAAATGTCTGTAGAGCCTTACTGTGTAGGTAGAAATTGTTGAAAGCCACCAGATTGTGCTTTGGAAGGTATTTGACAATGTTGTTGAAGTAGCTCTCGGCTCCGCCTTCGCCTGGAGGCAGGAGAAACAGGGTCGGACCTTGTCGATGGCTAGGGTCACGATATTCAAAGTAAGGCGTGAATGTTTCTTCGGTAAATAACTGGCAGGATGGAGACTCGGTTGAAGATGTACTCCCACTGCTGAGCTGCTCGGCGATATGGTCCAGTCCGCGCTCAATCGTAGATATCAACACCTCACTCTTGTCTTGGTCCCAGATACTGAAAACGTCAACAGCCACTCTCCCATCGATGCATGTCACCGTTATGTCTATAGCGGAAGAGCTCTTTTTTGCGTCCTCAGGGCTGCACGTCAGCCCGTACGCGTATTCTCCATCCCCAATAGCTAAATTCCAGTAATCATTGGGCATATGTGGCGTTCGCGTAAGCTGCCCTAGATAATTGACGCTGACACTGGGTAATGGATGCCGTACATAGCCATAGAGCGCACCATATCCAGCGCCATGGCAAGGAACTCGGTCCACCTCCGTTTTTATTTCGGCTACTGCTGCAAGCATGTCGGCCTCCTTCACATGGGGAATCTGAAATGGATACATGCTTGTGAACCAGCCCATCGTACGGCTAACATCCAGAGTGCTATCGATATCTTCTTCACGACCATGTCCTTCCAAGGTGACCATATTACAGCACATTGGCTCAACATCCTGGAGCGCTAGCCCGACTGCAGCAAGCACAGATGCTTCCATTTGGCCAGCGTGCTGCAGCAGAGATGCTGACTTGTCAGCACCCATGACGCGCCCTAATTTTAGACGAGGTCCAGTAGAAGGGGGGAGTGCTGCAACACTTTCGGAACTTTGAGCGATCAAGTTATCCCAGTATTCTCGCTCCAGTTTTGAGCCCTGATAGCTGCTCATACTGTTAGCCCATAGCCGAAGACTGCTGCCCTTGCTGCCTAAATTTTCATCAAGATATAAATTCCGAAGATCGCGTATCAAAATCTGCCAGCTAACCGTATCGATGGCAAGATGATGGATTGAGAACCATACACGGGCTGTTTTATCACTGTATCCATACAAGTAGCCGATAATACCGATAGGGCCATTCTCAATATTGAACCCCGACTGCCACTCGCTGAGGGCCTCATTGACAGCAGCACGTTCACAAATGCTGCTTACATCCAAGAGGCGGAGTGCAATTTTCTGATACTCTGTTGGGAATGATAGAACGAAAGTCTCCCCCTTTTGCTTCAATCGCATACGGAATGCATCGTGATAGTCCTGTAACTTCTGTACAGCAACTGACAAACGATCCACATCCAATTCTGGCGTTTGAATGTAGAATGTATGGTTCCACTGATCCCGTTTCTCTAGCGGCTTGGAAAGGAACCATTCTTGAATTGGCAGTAGGGGTGCCTCACCGGTGACAAGACCTTGCTCAGTGCGGAACTCGCTGGTGGGGCCTGACAGGTCATTACGTAGAACATTATTGTATAGCTTCCGGATGGTGCGATGTTCGAATAAGTCACGAACGGTGACTTTGCAACTAAGACGATGATGGATTTGTGCGACCAGATGAAGGGAGGTGATGCTGTCCCCACCCATTTTGAACAGGTCATCGTCAATTCCACACCGTTCCACCCCCAAGACAGAGGCCCAGAGAGCACAAAGTTTGGATTGCAGGGCATTGTGTGGCGGTGAATACACGGCCTGAGGACCGGTCGTGACGTCTATATCTGGTAGCTTTTGGATATCAAGTTTCCCTGTTCTAGTAACGGGAAAGGGGCCTCTGAGATGGCACAGATGCTCTGGTATCATATACCCGGGAAGCTTGGTTTTCATATGTCTGATGATTATTTCCTCAAGGCCTGATGGATTTTCCGTGGAGTAGTATCCCACAAGATACTGAGCCACACGAGAGCGTGGGTTGTCATCCATATATTTCGCGATGACAGCGCAGTCTTCAACCCCAGGAACTGAGGACATAACTCGCTGAACTTCGGAAAGCTCAATTCGGAGACCTCGAAGCTTGACTTGGAGGTCATTTCGCCCCATGTATTCGATATAAGGATTCCCTGAGCTATCCAGCCTGCACCTAGCTAGGTCTCCAGTCTTATACAAGTGAGAGAATTTTCCAGAGGCAGCGTCCTCATCAGTGCGGAAGGGGTTAGGGATAAACCGCTGTGTGGTTAATGTGGGCTGGTTGAGGTACCCACGAGCGAGACAGTCACCTGTCAGGTATAGTTGTCCTACTGCATTTAGCGGAACAGGCTGAAGATTATGGCCGAGTAGGTAAATCCGATTTCCAGGTAAGACTTCTCGTAGACAGTTTTCAAACCCATCATTGGCTGAAAAGGCAGTAATGAGATTGTACACTGTTGTTTCAGTGATTCCATAAGCGTTGTGAATAGTACCGTGGAAGCTATCACGCATCTTCTTGTACTGAGAGGCATGGAGCTCTTCACCAGCAGCTGTTACCATTTTCAGAAACTTTAGTTTTCGTAGATCGATTTGTTGCAAAAGAGACGGAGTTCCGCTCAAATAAGAGAGTTTATATGAATTGCAGATATCATAGAACTCGTTGCTGGCGAAAGAATGTTCTGGCGGGATGATCAGTGTCTGGCCACTTAAGATTGATAACGCTATTTGTTCGAGGGAGAAGTCAAAGATGTAGTTGGAGAGAAATAGCACACTATGGTTTCCTGGCGCACAGTTGCCAAAATATCGCATTCGAAGGCCGTTCCGAAGATTGATAACTCCATTTTGCTTGACTGATACACCTTTAGGTTTGCCAGTAGTTCCTGATGTGAACATACTATATGCCAGATTTTCAGGCTGCACATTTGATTTGACATCATCTGTCGATTGGCGGCTGATGTTCTCCGTAGTATCTATCGTGACGAGGCTTATACCTTGGGACTCGAACCGTGCTGCGTATTTGCTATGCAAAAGAACAGCTTTTGGCTTAGATTCCTGAAGAATTGTGCCTATTCGGTTATCAGGAAACGTAGGATCAAGGGGTAAATATGCGGCTCCAGCTTTCCAAACAGCAAAAATACAAATGAGCATGCTGATACTCTTGTCCAGCATCAGAGCTACATGGTCATCTGGTTTCAAGTCTGTTATTGAAAGTAAATACCATGCCAATTGGTTAGCTTGGGCATTGAGATCGCCATATGTGATGGTTTTCTCTCCTTCGACGATCGCGACACAGTCTGACGCCAGAGCAACTTCGGCTTCAAACAGCTTGTTCAAGGTAGCAGCAGGCTCCTTGTCCCTGTGGATGGCAAGCTGTGTCTCCAG